TGTTATGGCTGTGCCATTTTGTCTTTGGACTTCCAAGTTAAAGGCCAAAGATCATAAAGTTGTTTTTTTTTTTTTTTTTTGAGACAGGGTCTCACTCTATTGCCCAGGCTGGAGTGAAGTGGTGCAGTCGTGGCTCACTGCAGCCTCAAATTTCCAGGCTCAAGCAATCCTCTCACGTCAGCTTCCCAAGTAGCTGGGACTACAGGTGCACACCACCACACCCGGCTAATTTTTCTTTTTTTTGTGGAGATGGGGTTTAGCCATGTTGCTCAGGCTGGTCTCGAACTCTTAAGCTCAAGCAAGCCACCTGCCTTGGCCTCCCAAAGTGCTGGGATTACAGGCATGAGCCACTTTGCCCGTCCTCATGTAAAGTATTTTCATGATTTTTCCGCTGACTATTAGATTAAGTTCCTTCTTCCATTTTGTTGAAAGTAGAGAATTGGAAGCCACCTGACTTGGAGAAGACTTTGTCACTCAGTTGTTGGAATCCTTTGCTTCAGTTTCTGAAATGTCCACCAGAATCACTTTACCAATCCCTGTCAGCTGCATCAGAATGCTTTTTTGCCCTGAATAGTTACATCTGTCACCCCTCACTTCAGAGCAGCTTTGCAGGCTTTTGCTGGAAATGCTGAGGAAGAGTTGAGAAAAACAGCAGTGTTATTATTATTATTATTATTTTTTGAGACGGAGTCTCGCTCTGTCGCCCAGGCTGGAGTGCGGTGGCCGGATCTCGGCTCACTGCAAGCTCCGCTTCCCGGGTTCACGCCATTCTCCTGCCTCAGCCTCCCGAGTAGCTGGGACTACAGGCGCCCGCCACCTCGCCCGGCTAGTTCTTTGTATTTTTTAGTAGAGACGGGGTTTCACCGTGTTAGCCAGGATGGTCTCGATCTCCTGACCTCGTGATCTGCCTGTCTCAGCCTCCCAAAGTGCTGGGATTACAGGCTTGAGCCACCACGCCCGGCCAACAGCAGTGTTATTAATTTTAGCATACTAATATGTATACCAGTGTAGTGTTTTAAAAATCTTATTACATTCTTCCTATTTTCACCCAAAACTTGGAGCTCCAGATTCAGCCCATTCAGTTTATCAAAACGATCTGCCATATACATTAATTGTCAAACTAGTCAGCGAAATCAGACTCTTTCCCTCAGACGAAAGTCTTACTTCATTTTCATTCTAACAACATGACTCTGACAGCCATCTCACTCTGAGCTTCTGTTCCTGGTTAGATGGGTGAGGCGTGGAGCCGGTGCCCTGGGTAGAGGAAGGCACCATGGCTGTTGTTTCTTGGCATCCTCTTTGCTTGGCTCTCAAAGGGGCGATGCCTGCTTTTACAGTGGTTTAGGGTTTGAAGTTACTAAATGAAGTTTTCATCATCCATGCCATCAGACTCCACAGTGTCTGAACCCAAGACACTTCAGCATGAACCAGGACATACTATTTATAATACCATGCTTTGTCCTTTACAGAAATGAGCATAGGCCAGGCGTGGTGGCTCATGCCTATAATCCCAACACTTTGGGGAGGCCAAGATGGACAGATCACTTGTGGTCAGGAGTTTGAGACCAGTCTGGGCAGCATGGTGAGACCCCATCTCTACAAAAAATTAGCTGGGTGGTGGTGCACACCTGTAGTCCCAGCTACGTGGGTGGTTGAGGTGGGAGGATCACCTGAGTCCTGGAGTTCGAGGCTACAGTGAGCTGCTGTGCACTCCAGCCTGAGCAGTGGAATGAGACGCTGTCTCAGAAATAAATAATTTTTAAAAAGGAAGAAATGGGTATAGATAGGGAAAAGCAAATGGAGACGCAGACCCTACCTTAATGCGTTGCTTTGAGGTGGCTTTACCGTTATTAGTGTGTCATGGGTACTTTTGCCCCTAGGAATGTCCACTCCTCGAGGCAGTTCATTCTAGTACAAGGAGAGATGGGAGGTAGGCGTTTTTGCAGGGAGGAAGAAGGTTGTAAAAGAGGAGGTGGGATGGAGAGCTGGCATGACTCCTTGACCTCAAGGGTGTTGTCCACAGATTTGTTACCAGACAGAGCATATGTGGATGTTGGCCATCTAGAATCTAGAAATGGATTCTGTCACAGTGATTTGTGCCGACATACCCCTTCAAACAGTTTGTTTTCCCAGGGCTCCCAGTAGTCTTGAAGACACTGGAGTATGGTTCCTCAAAGGTAGTGGGGAGTGGGCTCTAAAGCACAAGGAAAGAGGAGGATAATTCCTGTAATTGTAACAGTGGGGCAGGGGCCAGGCTGGCTGATTGAGAGCTGAGTGCCAGGAACTTCCCTCAGTTGCATTCCGTTATTGTATTTTAAAACCTAGTTGTCTGAGAAGTACAATGTTTTCAGCCCCAGCAGCCGTGGACAATAGTAACATATATTTGGCCCGTCCTGGACTTGTATACTGTGCTCTGGGCCACGGTGCACGTGTAGTTACAGACATACTCAGTGAGTCCTCTACCTGCCAGCTCTGGAAGTAAGCAGGACTTCCCTGAACCGTCTCCACTTTGGGCCAGGCCCTCCCAGAGCCAGGTGCAGAAGGTGAATCAGAACTCTTAAGCTGGGGACATCATGAAGGAAACCTTGTAAATAAGAGATGCTCTTGGGTTTCATCACAGTCCAGTCTGCTCCCAGGCTGCTTTTTAAGTTGAACTGTGGAATTTCTGGGCAAATTCAATAATAAATAAGCAACTTTGGATCAGGTCTCAAAGCTGTGCAACTTCAAAGAGGGAAAAAGAAGTACTGATGCAGAAGCAGATCATTTTCCTGAGAGAGATTTGTTTCATGAAAGAGAAAAAAATAGAACGGTCTGTTCTCACTTTTTAATGAGTTAAGAGAAGATATAATCCTAATAATTATTAAGTAAGAACTCGACTGGAGCAGAGGGAATAAGGTAAAGTGATAATCATTTTAGACCAAATAACATATTTGAAAGTGGCAGGCAATAGAGTTGAAACTCTGTAATCCATGAAATGAAAAGCCAACTAGAGAAAAAACATAGCATGGCAGGATGGAATGGCCAGAGCACAGCCATGTCCAAGGTGTCTCGCGTGGGTAGTAATCATTCCTAAGGAAAAGAAAAAGGACAGCACAGTGCAGCAGCAGCGTCCAGAAGCTGTGGTAACAGGTCACAGAGCGGACTGCATGGTTTGTAACGTTAAGCTGGATGTTGGATTTCTGTGTCGTGCCACAGTGGTCAATATCAGAATACGTGTAAGACACCAACATCCACACATGCTTTGACGAACAAGGATATATACTCTTGAGTATTTTATACCTAAGATGCCACTTATTTGAAAAGTTCTTATATCTGGCGTTAAAAATTTCCCCAAACAAGTGTCTTTGCCAAAGACTTTATACTGCCAGTCACAAATCCAAGTGTGTTTATAAAACTTAGAAATACACATCTCAAAGAAGTGGAGGAAGGCTAGAATAATAAATGCCGTTGGGATGAGTAAGCAACCAGTTAGGAAAAAAAATACGACCTTAGTCTGTAATCAGTTGATGAATGAATGAGCTGATTACATGTAATCTATGAAACCATTAAATTACTAAAAGAAAATATAAGAAGGTATTGATACAATCTTCATTGGGAAAAGCCTTTTTTAAGCATGAGACCAAAGACAGAAACCCTAAAGAAAGATTAGCTTCTTAAAAATGGAAAACTAGTGTTCAGAAACTACAAAATCAAAATGCAAACAGCAGCCTAAGAAAAATTGCTTGTAACATATAAAAAGCAAAGGCTAATTTTCTTAAGAGATTTTTATATTAATAATTAAAAGATGAATACCTCAGTAATAAAAGGAGAGTTTCAGAACATTGATCATTCAGTTCTTAAAAGAAAAAACATAAATGACCAGTAATAATATAAATTTTAGCCTCACTGGTATTCATCAGAGAATGTAAAATAAAAGAGAACTAGTATTTCTCTTCTATCAGATTGGCAAAGAAAAAAAATGTCAGGGTCCAGGTAATGCCAGTTTTAACGGATAGATGACATAAATGTTGATACAGTCTCAACTCTTAAGGAATGGAATTTTTTTTTAATGTTGATTTGTTTGAGGCTAACAACTTGCTGTTATGCATTCATTTCATATAAAAAATTGAGAAAAGTAAGATTTAATATTGCTGGTTTGTTCATGATAAATATTTTAGGAGAAGTTGAATTTTAACTTTAAAATGGTGCTAATTCTGTCAAATTTGGAAATCGAGAATAATTTAATTTCTAGTGGCTTTTCAAGCTCATTCATGCTGGAGTGCCCTGTGCTGGCACCAGCAGCCATTTAGTGACCCCTGACTGGGTACCATATGAGTACCCTGTGGGGTCTACAGGGTGTGGGGGGCAGGATAAAGAGGGAGTGGGGGTACACAGCATGTGGATGGCAATGTCAGTGATGCTCAGACCCTGGGCATCCTCCTTTGTGCCTATTATTAGCCCGCATTTCCAGAAGGTCTGCTCTGTTCTGAAGGCTGTGCCAAGCAATCACTGAGGCAGTGATTCTGTCAGGTTCACTGCTGTGTCCCCAAGGCCTAGAACCATGCCCAGCAGAGGGTGGTTGCTCAGTAAGGGTTTGTTAGTCACTGTTAGTCTTGTGTCCTCCAATTGACATTCTCTTGAGGAGACCAGCAGTAAGCAGATAAAGAATTCACCTAAGGCACGAGATGTGTTCAGAGGGTTGTAGGTTCCAGGAAGATGGTAGGATGCAAGGAGGCAAGGCAGATGGCCCCAGAAGGATGTCCCTTCCCTTCCCTGAGGGTGTGCTTGGCCCCATGAGAAGACAGCAGGCATGTGACAGCATGGAGCCCATTTCTGTTCAGGCGGGGGCATGACTTCCACCAGTGTGTGTGCATTTGGTAATGGAACCGAGGAACTCCGCAGGCCTGTTTTTAAACTCCTGATTCTCTGTATTTGCCATATCCTAACAGAGTGTTTGCTTTTTGTTTCCTTTTTTTTTTAATTTAAAGGATTTTTTTGTTTTGTTTTGTGTTTTTTGATAGATGAGGGTTACTACCAGGGTGGAAAATTTCAGTTTGAAACTGAAGTTCCCGATGCGTACAACATGGTGGTGAGTAGCCTGCGTTGAGCCTGTTGTTTTACTTCTCGGGCGGGGCTGCCTGTGGCTGTGGCCCGCCACTGGCACAGGGCCCTAGCACTCCTCTCTGCGTGTGTCCATGTGTGACTGAGTACTCACTTCAGTATTTTTGTGATGAATGTCACTCATCAGCAGTATTTAGAGTGTTAGTAGAGAATTTGTTTATTCAACAAATACTTACGAGTACTATGTGCCAGGCAGCCTGCCTGTGTATTTTCTATAACTCTTATCTGTTACAGTCTGGCACTGAAGAAAAAAAGCATTGTAGTTTTGTTCATGGTATGACACCAAAATTCCAGAAGTCTATAAAATGTGTATTTTAGAATTTCAGAGAACGGTGACTTGTAGTTTAAACTATAAGTGATTTATACCTATAGTTTCATGTTAATCCCTCAAAGATCCTTTTAGGCGATGATTATACCAAATACCATTACATTATGTCTTTGCTTTGGTGGAACTTGCAGACCAATTAGGAGAGATAAAGTGTAGAAAGTTGATAAAGTGATAAAAATGGTAAGTAGAGGACAGTAGAGATACTGATCAATGATAGGAAACTAGTTTTTGAGAATTCAGGGAAGGGAAAGTAATGATCACTTTGGAAAGTGGTCAGGGCTAGTTAAGCTTTTAGGGGGAAATCCAATTGGAGTCACCCTGATGTGGCCCAGAACCAGGGGAGGGTGTTGTAGGTGACATGGAAACGTGGTGAACCGTGGTGACAGGTGTGGACATGAGAACTTGCAACCTGCAGAAGGTGGATGGGCCAGGTCAACTCGAGTGAAGAATTGGAGTTGGGGAAGAATAGAGGAAAAAATGAGAAAATTCAGAAGTGTGGGTTTGGTTGGGCATTTTCGATTTGGCAGTGACAAACCACTGGAGATTCTGAATAATTCCACACCCCTGAGTTGGGGTATTAGAGGAGGTGTGGCTGCGCCTCAGAGACGGGTGTGATGTGTCTAGGCCCAAACTGCCAGGAGTTGGCGTACGGGCAGTTCCGTGTGCTTGTTTTATTGGCGTGCATCGTGGATATGTTTTCCTCCTCACGTGTTCTAACTAACCCTCTTGGCCCACCCAGTAGGAAAGCACAAGCTGATGGTGCTGCCAGAGAAAAGGAAGCCTCACTCCCATCATGAGGATGTGGGCATTTGGGACACTGTGCCTGTGACTTCGCTTGTGGGAAGTGTGCTCCCACTGCCTGACGAGTGGAGTTGCCCTGTCCCCAGCCACAGGGCTCCATTCAGTGGCTGCAACACTTGTTTGAGAAGCCAAACCTTCATCTATGGAAATTGACTTTTTACCAGACTACTCCATTTAGGGTTCTTTTTGAAATGTAATTTTTGGGGATGGGGAAGAGGAGGCAGTCCAAGTAATTTTTTAATTTGTAGACAAAGACGGGAAAATACACATTTCCAGTCTTTGTCCATCCACCACCTGCTGAGACTTTCCATTCTTCCCAAACCACACTGAGAAACCTGGTGACGGAGCACTGCACCGTGTCCAATGCGAGGTGGTTTCAGAGGCTTGGTTTCAGTACCGATATTTAGAATTTGGGGACTCTTTGGTGGTTTCTGGAAACAAACAGGCATACAGTATCTAAAATTCTATATTCAGATTTGCCTCTAAATACTTATGACACACTGTTCTGGATGTCATAGCAGGGAGTTAAGTGTAAGCTGATAAACTTTCCAGATAAGTCATGAGGCATCAGAGAACCATCGTTTCAGGTATATCTGGCATCATCTAGTAGCAGAGCTCCTTGTTTTCACTATAGGAAGAAAGCAAACTAAGAGAAAATACCAGGTAAGGAATGGGCATGATTGAGAGCCTCTGTGTGCCAGGTGTCTTCACTCACTTTATTCCATTCTTCTGATAGTTCTGTGGGTTGGTTGGTTGGTTGGTTGGTTTAGTTCGTTATCTGAGACGGATCTGGAGTGCAGTGGTGTGATCTCAGCTCACTGCAACCTTCACCTCCCGGGTTCAAGCAATTCTCCTCCTCCTCCTGGGTTCTAGCAATTCTCCTGCCCTAGCCTCCTGTCAGTGGATGATCTTAACATTTATATCTTTATACATTAGGAAGTTAGGGTTCTGAAAGCTAAAGTTAAAAATATTAGCTTTGCCAATGGAGACAGCTGAATTGTTGAAGTCACTTCATGTCCAGGGCTGCCCAGCTTTTAAGCATGTGCCCTTCCTACCACACCAGGTGGTGAGAAAATGTTTGTCATACTGTCTTGTCCCATTTGTGACTTCAAGAAATAGGAAGGAAAATGGAATAAAGAATGACTTGAAAGCCACTGAGCCTTGAAGACTTGTTTCCCTTATTCGTTTGAGACTGGCACAGAGGTTGAGGTGGAGGGTAAGGTTTTAATTTTCCCAGTGATTTTCCTGTCCTTCTCTCAGACCTGCTATTCCTCAGCCCTGCCCCCCCCTTCCTCACTCCCAGTCCCCATGGGAAAACATCATCCTGTGCAGCCTTTCTGAAGTTTGGTGTGCTGTGTTTGACCTTTAACTCTGTAATGATGATCTTACATTTTTCTATTTCCACTGCTGTCTCTTTTGGAAGTTTCGTATATGATGGGCTGGTCAGATTTCATCAGGAATAAAACCCATGTTCTCAAACCCAGAAGTACCGAGAGCAGCTGGTGACTCTGCATGAACCATGTTCCTACTCTGCTTCTGTAGGGTCCTTTCCTCTCCTCTCCCCAGCCTTTCCTAAATCTCAATAAAGCTTTTTTTTTTTTTTTTTTTAAATGAGGCGGCTTTATATTAGCAATCATACAGGAAGTTGCCATGCATTGTCTAGTGTGGAAACTCAACTGACACATGTTTACTCTATTTCTCTAGGTAGTAAGACCTAAATTCCAAATAAACTACCAGTGGATTTTTGCTTTTGCATTTATCACGTGATCTACTAAGCAAAATGGGTTCTGTTTAGTAATATGACTATAATTAGAAAGATTCTT